ATTTTGTTCATAAACAAGCTTCTGTCCAAATTTCATAAAATTCCATGAAGGTTTGAGAAATTTATTGATGACTGAGAAACTTTAACCTCAGACTAAACCTGAAATTTAACTTAAAAAAAAACAAAGTCCATTTATAAGTAAAATATGGAAAAATGAAAATAAATATTTTTAATTCAGTTTTTGATGAAATCAAACAAAATTTAATTTTGGACCCTTTTGACCTCAATGTATACCAATTAAAAAATAAGGCCCAATATCCAAATAAAATGCTCCGCTGGGCGCAGCTTGATAAGACCGCAGAGGTCTAACCCTAAACAGTTGGGGCAAGTATGGACACAACATTCAAGTTTGATACAGCTCTGAATTTTGATTGTGATTAAATATTTGACACAGCATAGGTTTCTGACACAGAATGAATGTGGTCTAAGAACTTAAAATCTTTTAATTTACCTATTATGGTCCAATATCCAAAATCTAAATACATGGTTAGATTCAGCATATCAAAGAATCCAAAGAATTCAATTTTTGATGAAATCAAACATTAAATTTTGCTCTGGATACTATATTTTGTTCATAAACAAGCTTCTGTCCAAATTTCATAAAATTCCATGAAGGTTTGAGAAATTTATTGATGACTGAGAAACTTTAACCTCAGACTAAACCTGAAATTTAACTTAAAAAAAAAACAAAGTCCATTTATTAGTAAAATATGGAAAAATGAAAATAAATATTTTCCAAATTTTGCTCTGGATACTATATTTGGTCATAAACAAGCTTCTATCCAAATTTCATAATATTCCATTAAGGTTTGACAAAGTTACTGATGTCTAAAAAAAACTTGAACCACAGACTGAACCAAAATGTTGAAGCCGCATACGCTGACGACAGAATCTAGGATCGCTGTGTCTCACTTTCGTGACATTAATGTCGCAGGCTCGACAAAAAGGCCAACACCAAACAAACAACAGAAGTACAAAGTATATTCTTTATTACTTCATGTTTTTATTATGCACGCTAGTATTGACAAAACAATGTAAACATGCACATTTATCTTTTATAAATGATTAAAAGAGTTTTCACATTTTCCCAGTTGTTTATCAACCATTATTTGATTGTATATAAGTGATGATTGATTATGAAATTTCTTCTGATTCCAATCACTAATTATGATAAGTCAATGCTATTTGGTTTGCAGTTGTATCAGTGTTACCATTTTTCATTTCTTGGGAAGTTATTTGGCCCTGTACTTTCAGTCATGGTTCATTGAATTTAAATATTTTGCATAGTTTACATGTTAAAGTTATTTGTCATTTAATTTTAACATCAAAATTACATACAAGTGAGACATATTTCTGTGTTTATTTACATTTCATATTTTCACATATTTAAATGTTTATAATAGACCTTTCCCAAGTGTTTAAGTAAAGTTCTGTGCAACCCTGCTATTTGAGTCTTAATTCTGAGTTTTTATACGTCCGTCTACGGGACGTATTATGGTAAACCATTGACCGTCTGTCCGTCCGTCCATCCGTTGTCAACATGTCGGACATTAACTCAAAAAAACTTTGACCAATATGCATGAAACTTTGGTGAGGCCACAATTAAAAATATTTCAGTTTGCCCAAACCCGACCCATGATGACTGGGTGTGGGTAGGTAGGTAGGGAAATTCTTTTTTTTTTTATCAGAATTTGCATGAAAATATTAAAACAGTATATCTTTTTTTTCCGTCAAACCTTTGTAGAGACAATCAAAAGCCATGAAAAACTGTCTGCCATTTTCACATGTTTTACTTCTTTACAGGGATGTCACTAGGTTTTGAAGTAGCAGGATTAATAATTAAAGTAGCAGGCAAGGATTGTGGACGTCATAGACGTCTGGTGCGACGAGCTTGCTTGTCGCCCATCACGGCGAGGGTTTTTTTTTCTAAAATGGTGCAAAAATCCTGCATTCTGGGGGCTCCTGAACTCTAATTTAGTCCTAATCAAACACCATTTTTTTTAATGATGATAAGGTAAATGAGCAGCTGCAAGATGGTCACATATTTCCATAAAGTTGATCACATAAATATTATTATCACTATAACAAGACTTTCAGCTAACAAGTAGTTGAAGTTGTTTGAGGAAAATGATGAAGGATGACTCTGTAAGACATGGTGATCATTCAGGAAAAGATTCAAATTTGATCTTATTAGTTGAAAATATTTTTAGTTTAACTGTAGACATGCAATTATTCAAATAATTCGTACCCATAGACATTTTTTTTTATTTCTCAGTATTAATAATTTCACATACTTATTACAATAAATCAAATGATGAATTGGACTGTTGCAGGCAAAAAGGTGAACTCTTTAAGGATGTACTTTGGTGAAATTAGAAAAATGTAGAATTTAAAATTGATACTATAAGTCAGAAGACTTCAAGAGCATTTAAGTTAAGAAGCAAACTAATGGAAAGAGAAGAAATCTACAATCTGCTTAAATTTTTGTATATGACCTTTTATGAGTTATTAATTGAAGTATTATATATGGAAAAAATGGGGGTCATGGGGCAAAATATTTTACCCTGTATCGTAGGAAAAAACCAGAGTCCAAACATCTGACAGAAATTCCAAGACCTGACCTAAGTACATCCTTAAATGCATAATCATGCAGGGCTCACACTACTTCAGAATCATAGGGAGAAGTGACTTCTCTTTTTGAAACTGATAGGGAGAAGTGCTACAATGTTTGGTTTTTACTACCTATAGTACAAAGGGTCATATGTAAATAATGTTCTTTTTATATTGTTCAATTCATATCTGAGTATACAATTAAAGTAAAAGTTCAAATTCAAAGTTGTTTAAGTTTAGGTTCTTGTGAGAAACTACCAACTAAATATCTAGCACTAAAAAGATTTTTTTTTTATGACAAAAAGATAAAGAAATTATAATATATAAATCACAATTCAATTAAAAAACTATCTTGTTTATCATGTTTATGAAATTCAGTGTTTCTCATCAAAAGATATACAAAGTTAAGCTGGGCCATATATATTGATATTAGTATTATAGTCCAAGAGTTAATTAAGCAAGTTTAATCAATATTTTGAAACAATCCATATATATGGAATTATATACATTAATCAAGTAAATCTAACAAATAGTCTGTTTATGCGTGTGGAATGCGCAATTTTTCCATTTGGGACCAATTTCCTTGTCAGCTGTTCCATTCATGCGTCCGTAGTTATTATTGTAAAAATACGGATTTCGGTCATAGCTGGTCCGTTTCCGATCCGTAGTTAGAAAACAGTTAATGGCGAACGAAGAAAATTTACCAAATAAACGATGTTTGACAAGCTATTTGGAAAGGAATTTAACGTTTTTAATGCAATAAATGGATTAAACATTTACTGGAGGCAATTTTTATCACGTTCAAATGAAGTAACAAACTTATTTTGTCGCCGAAAGTTAGGTTGATGTACGATCTCGTGTAACAAGTACCGGAAGTGAATGAAGTGATAAAAAGTTGTCTTTTTATTAAATAATCTGCTTCACACTGTAAAGACAATGCGTAAATCTCTGTTCTTCAGAAAATGAATCGTTTATGTCTGAATTTCTTTAATTATCAATGTTTCATCGACTTGGTAAAAAATGAAAACTTTGTGCAGTAGCCGGCGCCAAAGCAGAAGTAACCGTTCGTTAAATCAGAAGATAAAAACCGAGAACATCGAATATCGATTAAATGCGTCTCTTACACACTTTCTTTTAATCATATTCAAAGTTACGTTCAAACGCAAAGACGACGAACATTAAGTTCTGAGTTTTGGGGTTTTATTCATTAAAAAAGGGGGGATTTCCCAGTATTCCGACAATAACTCAAGAATGCTTTCACCAACGTGCAAGAAATTTTGGTGAATTGTTTATATCTACATATTGACATGAGCTCCCTTTTGGATTTTTATAAATTTTAGATTTTACGTTTCTGAGTTACAGGGTTTTATTCATAAAAAAAAGGGGATTTTCCAGTTTTCGAACAATAACTTATAAATGCTTTCAGCAGTCCTCATGAAACTTTGGTGAACTGTTTATATCTGTTGATGTAAGCTCCCTTTAGAATTTAAAAAATTTTAGATTTTATATTTCTGAGTTATGGGGTTTTATTCATTAAAAAAGGGGGGATTTTCCAGTTTTTGGACAATAACTCAAAAATGCTTCCAGCAGTTCTCATGAAACTTTGGTGAATTATTTATAGCTATTGATGTAATCTCCCTATTGATTTTCATAAATTTCAAATATGACATTGAGAAGAAATTGAACTTTATTTGTTTATTGTCTGACAACAGATTTACTAAGTATTGCGCAACAGCACAGTGTATTGCACAACAGCAAGAAATCTTTAATTGAATATAAATTCAATTCATATAAACAATTTCAAGTTCTTTGACTACATTTATTCAGAAACCTATAATATGTCAAATATTTAATTTCAATCCAAATTCAGACCTGTATCAAGCTTGAATATTGTGTCCATTTTTGCCCCAACTGTTCAGGGTTGGACCTCTGCGGGCGTATCCAGCTGTGCTCAGCGAAGCAGTTTATTATATTCAATACTGATATAAATACATTTCAAAAAGTAAATATGTCATTGCTTTTAAGATTTTTGACAACAATGAACTGAAGAATAAAGTGATTTCACACAACATTATTTAAAATTTTAAATATTGTTTCAACAAGAACTCACCAAAAACATATGATATAACTGTAGGCTATTCATTTTATCTTTTTTCAAGGCTCCTAGAAACAATATCACATATGTGTACATGTGACTAGGAGAATTTTCTATTTCTAAATTTAGTGTATAATTCAAAATTGACCACACTATATGGAAAATATGTAATAATTATAACTGATTCATACAAAATTGATTCTACTCTTGACATAAATGGTATTGACTTTAAAAATGTTAAAGCTATCTAAGAAAATTGAATTAATTACGCAATAATTGTATATTCTTATTCTCAGAAATCCATCACAAATGATGTTAACAAAAGTATTCATACCAGAAAACCATCTGATAAGAGAATCTTTATACAGGTTTGTGAATATATAGATTTTGTATATGAATAAAAGGAGATACATGTATGGGGTAAATGTCTATTAGAATAAAAGGGAGATATTGGGTATATGTCAATAAAAATAAAAGGAGATATGGAGTATATGTAAATGTCAATTAGAATTAAACAGGTTGGGAACAAACCCTCTACATGGTGTTTTTACCTGTATAGAGGGATAATCCTTCTATAGAGGGATAAAATTATCCCTCTATAGAGGGGTATTTTTGTTTAGACTGGATTTAAAGCAAAATAGGGCATTGGCATTTTCTAGTTATATTGGCTATAATCTATAGCATTGTATGCATCAATAAATGCACTTTATTAAAAATTGGGATGCCCAGTTTTTTGCTAAAGAGACAGAACTTGAAATCTATTGTATAGCTATCTGAACATCTGATCAACAACAAAAGGGACAGTTGACCTTTAAATTTTATGTTAAATCTAACAATAGAAATTCTGTTCAGTGAGGCATAACTGAGTAGAATTTACCTGATCATCACAGCTTTCAATTATGATGAACAATAGATTGTATATTCAGTCAGTTTAGCAGTAAACTGGGCATGTACAAATTAAATTAAGTACATCAATTGATGCATACAATGCTATAGATTATAGCCAATATAACTAGAAAATGCCAATCTGCCCTATTTTGCTTTCAATCCAGTCTAAACAAAAATACCCCTCTATAAAGGGATAATTTTATCCCTCTATAGAAGGATTATCCCTCTATACAGGTAAAAATACCATGTAGAGGGTTTGTTCCCAACCTGTTAAAGAGATATGAAGTATTTGTCAATTCAATAAAAGGAGATATGGAGTATATGTCAATTAGAAAAAAAGAGATATTGGGTATATGTCAATTAGAATTAAAGAGATATGAAGTATTTGTCAATTCAATAAAAGGAGATATGGGGTATATGTCAATTAGAATAAAAGGAGATATGGGGTATATGTCAATTAGAATAAAAGGAGATATGGGGTATATGTCAATTAGAATTAAAGAGATATTGGGTATATGTCAATTAGAATAATAGGAGATATGGAGTATATGTCAATTAGAAAAAAAGAGATATTGGGTATATGTCAATTAGAATTAAAGAGATATGAAGTATTTGTCAATTCAATAAAAGGAGATATGGGGTATATGTCAATTAGAATAAAAGGAGATATGGGGTATATGTCAATTAGAATTAAAGAGATATTGGGTATATGTCAATTAGAATAATAGGAGACATGGAGTATATGTCAATTAGAAAAAAAGAGATATTGGGTATATGTCAATTAGAATTAAAGAGATATGAAGTATTTGTCAATTCAATAAAAGGAGATATGGGGTATATGTCAATTAGTATAAAAGGAGATATGGGGTATATGTCAATTAGAATTAAAGAGATATTGGGTATATGTCAATTAGAATAATAGGAGATATGGAGTATATGTCAATTAGAATTAAAGAGATATGGAGTATATGTCAATTAGAATAAAAGAAGATATATGGAGTATATGTCAATTAGAATTCTTCTTCTTCTCTTCTTTATATACAGAAAAACATCAACTGGTTGATGATTACTTTCTGGCGCATGCCTGGTTTAACAATATTGTTAATGATTAAAAATATATTTTTAATTTATAATAATTTTTCAATTTTTATATATACAAATGTATATGTAAGTAATATTTTTCAATTTTTATTTTTATACGACCGCAAAAATTGAAAATTTTTTGGTCGTATATTGGTATGATGTTGGAGTCGTCGTCTTCGTTGTCGTCGTCCGAAGACACATTGGTTTTCGCACTCTAACTTTAGTGTAAGTGAATGGATCTCCATGAAATTTTACCATAAGGTTCAATACCAGGAAAGGAAGGTTGGGAGTGATTTTGGGGGTTATGGTACCAACAGTTAAGGAATTAGGGGCCAAAAATAAGCATTTTTGTAACTTCCAGACAATAACTTGTGTGTAAGTGTATGGATCTCTCTGACATTGTACCACAAGGTTCCATATCACAAAGGGAAGGCTGTAATTGATTTTGGGGGTAATTGCCTCAAAATTTTAGGAATTAGGGGCCAAAAAAGGGGCAAAAAACAAGCATTTTTCTAGTTTCATGACAATAACTTGTGTGTAAGTGTTTGGATATTTCTGAAATTGTACTACAAGGTTCCATATCACGAAGGGAAAGCTGGGTTTGAGTTTGGGGGTAATTGCCCTAAACGTTTAGGAATTTGGGGCCAAAAAGGGGCCAAAAAATAAGCATTTTTCTAGTTTCCAGACAATAACTTCTGTTCAAGTGTATGGATCTCTCTAAAATTGTACTGCAAGGTACCATACCACAAAGGGAAGGCTGGGATTGAGTTTGGGGGTGATGAATCATAAGAGGGTGCACAAAATTTGGGGTTTTTATACGACCGCAAACAAATTTTTGTGGTCGTATATTGGTATGATGTTGGCGTCGTCGTCGTCGTCCGGCGTCGTCGTCGTCCGGCGTCGTCGTCCGAAGACGCATTAGTTTTCGCACTCTAACTTTAGTTTAAGTGAATGGATCTCTATGAAATTTTACCATAAGGTTCAATACAACAAAAGGAAGGTGGGGATTGATTTTGGGGGTTATGGTACCAACAGTTAAGGAATTAGGGGCCAAAAAGGGGCCAAAAATAAGCATTTTCTAGTTTCCAGACAATAACTGTGGAACGGTGTATGGATCTCTCTGAAATTATACTACAAGTTTCCATACGACAAAGGGATGGTTAGGATTTGCTTTGAGGGGTTATGGCTCAAACCGTTTAAGAATTAGGGGCAAAAAAGGGGGAAAAACAAGGTTGTCCTGGTTAAGGGACAAATACGTTAGTACAAAACATAATTTAAAGCAGTGTAAGGGAGATAAATCAAATACATCATTGAAATTATCTCCCTTACACTGCTTTTAAATTATGTATAAAGTAATGGTTAATGAACAATTAAGATAATTTAAAACAGTGTAAGGGAGGTAATCCAAATACAACGTTTTGGTTACTTCCCTTACACTGCTTTTAAATTATGTTTAAAGAAATGCATATTTATAAAGGAAGACCAGTAAAAATATCTGCAAATGTTGTATCTTATTTTTTTACAAAAAAATCCATATGAAAGATTTGACACTATATTTTAAATTCTATTATAAAATAGATTAAGTTAGCACTATGGTAAATTTAAATGGGTAATTATGGTTTGGGGGGAAAAATGGGGGGGGGGGGGGGGGGGGTAAAAAGAAATTGTGGGGGGTCAATTTTTTCTCATTTCAGATTTCAGAAATTAAAAAGAATTATTCTTCAAATATTTTTTTTTTTTCAAATTTCAAATATTGAAAAATTTCAAGAAGTAATCTTTAATTGCACAGTATGGCGCATTAGATTTGTAAAATCTTTGACCACATTTATTTATTTGTTATGCCGAATCTAACGATGTATTTAGATTTTTAATTTTGGATCCAGTTTTCAAATTGGTCTACATTAAGGTGCAAAGGGTCCAAAATTAAAATTTGTTTGATTTTAACAAAAATTGAATATATGGGGTTCTTTGATATGCTGAATCTAAACATGTATTTAGATTTTTGATTTTTGGCCCAGTTTTCAAGTTGGTCCAAATTGGGGTCCAAAATTAAACTTTGTTTGATTTCAACAAAAATTGAATATATGGGGTTCTTTGATATGCTGAATCTAACCATGTATTTAGATTTTTTATTTGTGGACCCCGCTATCAGATTGGTTCATATTGAGGTCAAAGGGGTCCAAAATTAAACTTTGTTTGATTTCATCAAAAATTGAATTATTAGGTGAATGTCAAATTTAAAATTTTTAAGTTCTTAGACCACATTCATTCTGTGTCAGAAACCTATGCTGTGTCAAATATTTAATCACAATCCAAATGCAAAGCTGTATCAAGCTTGAATGTTGTGTCCATACTTGCCCCAACTGTTCAGGGTTCGACCTCTGCGGTCGTATCAAGCTGCATTTTATTAATTTTTGGTATAAGATAAAAACAAGATACATATTAAACATGTAGGTGTTTGTAAGTGTCAAGGAGCATCTCTCTAGTGAGTTTCTCCTTGAAGCACTCAGTAGTGGTGCTGCAGGCTATTGGTTCAGGTAATTTGTTCCAGTCTTTTATAGTTTGGCAGAAAAATGAAAATTTGTATCTGTCTTTGCTGCATCGAATTTGTCGGTATGTTTGTTCGTGGCTAGACCTGGTGTTTGATTTGCTTTTAATTAGTATGTCAGTATGTGGTATGGCAATTTTGTTGTTTGATGATATAGTTATACCTAAATATTTTGCATTTTCAACTGACTCAAGAATGTGACCGTGCATGTTATAATAAAAATGGATAGGTGTTTACTTTGTGGTCACTGGAAGTATGTTGCATTTGTCAGGGTGGAACTGCATTAGCCAGTCTTGTTCCCATTTGATTGCCCCTTCTAGGTCTTTCTGGAGTTTAAGGCCATCTGATGTTGATTCTATCTGTCGGTAATTGATGCTATCGTCAGCAAAGAGCCTGATATGACTGTGATGTAAATAGTCAGGTAAATCATTAATGTATATAAAAAATAGTATTGGACCTAATACAGTGCACTGAGGAACACCTGATGTAACTGGTATGTTGTCAGAGGAATGGTTTTCTAGCATAACTGTTTGTGAACGATTTGAAAGGAAAGATTTTATCCAGTTTGTAGCTTGATCTGATACACCGAAAAATTTAAGTTTATATAGTAAACAGTTGTGTGGAACTTTGTCAAAGGCTTTTGCGAAATCCATGATGATTAGATCGGTTTGTATGTTTTTGTCATTATTTGAACACAGCTGGTGAATTAGTGATATTATTTGGAATTCGCATGATCTATTTGCCCTGAAGCTTGTTGCAAGTCATAAAGTATGTTGTTGGATTCAAGGTGTTTCATGATGTTGCTTGCAATTATGTGCTCTAATAATTTGCAGGAAATAAATGTTAATGAAATTGGACGATAGTTACTAGGATGATGTTTGTCTCCTTTTTTGAAAACAGGTGTTACATTTGCGTGGTTCCAATCGTGAGGTACTTTTCCTGTTTGCATTGATTTTGTAAAAATTAGAGTGAGTATGTCTGTGCATGTGTTGATGTTTTCTTTTAGCACTATTCCAGTAATGTTATCTGGTCCTGTTGCCTTTTTTGGATTTATATTTTTAATTAATTTAAAGATGCCTTCTCTGTTGATGTCTATGTTGTCCATTATTGGATGTGTTGATGGACCTTTGTCAGGGATAACTGTATTAGTCTCAGATGTAATAGCTGATTTAAATTGTTCGTTTAATATATTAGCTTTTTTCAAGGGATCTGTATAAAGTAAACCTTCACTCCTAAGAGGTGCAATACCAGTGTTTTCATTGTTTTGGCCTTTTATGTATGAAAAGAGTTTTTTAGGTTGTTTGTTAAATCACCGATTTTCAGGCTCTTGTATTTCAATGTCAAAAATCATGTTTTCGATATAATTCCAATAGGCATTTCTCATCTCTTTCTGTAATTGTGTTTTAATTTGTTTGAACTTTTTAATATGTTTGCTATCATGTTTTTATACGACCCCAAACAAATTTTGAGGTCGTATATTGGTATGACGTTGGCGTCGTCGTCGTCCGAAGACACATTGGTTTTCGCACTCTAACTTTAGTTTAAGAAAATGGATCTCAATGAAATTTTACCATAAGGTTCAATACCACAAAAGGAAGGTGGGGATTGATTTTGGGGGTTATGGGACCAACAATTAAGGAATTAGGGACCAAAAAGGGGCCAAAAATAAGCATTTTTGTAACTTCCAGACATAACTTGTGTGTTAGTGTATGGATCTCTCTGACATTGTACCACAAGGTTCCATATCACAAAGGGAATGCTGGGATTGATTTTGGGGGTAATTGCGTTCAAATTTTAGGAATAAGGGGCCAAAAAGGGGCAAAAAACAAGCATTTTTCTAGTTTCATGACAATAACTTGTGTGTAAGTGTATAGATCTCTCTGACATTGCACCACAAGGTTCCATATCACAAAGGGAATGCTGGGATTGATTTTGGGGGTAATTGCCTCCAAATTTTAGAAATAAGGGGCCAAAAAGGGGCAAAAAACAAGCATTTTTCTAGTTTCATGACAATAACTTGTGTTCAAGTATATTGATCTTTATGAAATTGTACTACAAGGTTCCATATCACAAAAGGAAAGCTGGAATTGAGTTTGGGGGTAATTGCCCAAAACATTTAGGAATAAGGGGCCAAAAAGGGGTCAAAAATAAGCATTTTTCTAGTTTCCAGACAATAACTTGTGTTCAAGTGTATGGATCTCTCTGAAATTGTACTGCAAGGTACCATACCACAAAGGGAAGGCTGGGATTGATTTTGGGGGTAATTCCCTCAAAATTTTAGGAATTAGGGGCCATAAAAGGGCAAAAAAACAAGCATTTTATCTAGTTTCAGGACAATAACTTGTGTGTAAGTGTATGGATCTTTATGAAACTGTACTGCAAGGTTCCATATCACAAAGGGAAAGCTGGGTTTGAGTTTGGGGGTAATTGCTCTAAACGTTTAGGAATTTGGGGCAAAAAATCAAGCATTTTTCTAGTTTCCAGACAATAACTTGTGTTCAAGTGTATGGATCTCTCTGAAATTGTACTGCAAGATACCATACCACAAAGGGAAGGCTGGGATTGAGTTTTGGGGATTCATCATAAGGGGGTTCAAAAAATTTGGGGGGGGGGGGGGGGGAATTTTTTTTCCTTTTTTTTCTTTTAAATTTTCCATTTTAAATTGGTTATTTCTGATTTATATATAAAAGCAAATAATAATGATATGGTTTGAATAGGTAAATTAAATTTTTTTAAGTTCTTAGACCACATTCATTCTGTGTCAGAAACCTATGCTGTGTCAAATATTTAATTACAATCCAAATTCAGTGCTGTATCAATCTTGAATGTTGTGTCCATACTTGCCCCAACTGTTCAGGGTTCGACCTCTGTGGTCGTATCAAGGTGCGCCCCAGGGAGCATTTTATTTCTTTTTATATAATTTGTTTTTCTTATTTATAAGTTTTTTCAATTTTGAATCTATCCATGGTAGGTTTGTTTTATTACCTATTAGCTTAGTTGGTATATGCTTTTGGATACTTTCTGTTGTTTTTGTTTTAAAGAAATTCCACATATTGTCTATATCAAGTTTTAATTTGTGTTTTTCCATATGTGTGTATGTTTCTTTTAAATCTTTTCCAATTTTTTCCCAGTCTGCTTTCTTGTAAATGAATACTTTGTGTGGTGACTGTTTGGCTCTCGCGAGGGAAAGATTAATTTCACTGAAGATTATATCATGGTCACCTAGTGGTGGTAATGTTTCTACTCTGTTTACTAGGGATGGATTTGACATGCACAGTAGATCAAGTGTGCGGTCGTTTCTTGTTGGTTTGTCAACTACCTGTGTGAGATTGTGAGATTGTAATATGTCTAATAGGTGTTGATGAAGAGAAGGATCTGGTTTGCTAGGTATTACTGATGAATTTGACCAGTCAATATTGCCTAAATTGAAATCACCACTGAGCATGATATTTGCACTGGATATGTTGCATATCCTGTTTAGTGAGGTACTTAGATGTTCCAGTGATTCCCCTTTGTCTGATGGTGGTCTATAATATGCATCAAGATAGGTGGTTTTATTTCCTGTTGGAGTTATTTTTGCCCATATTAATTCGCAATCTGTGTCTAATTCAGGCACATGTGATGTAATAAGTGTGTTTGTGATTGCGAGTGTGATTAAAGAGATATTGGGTATATGTCAAGTAGAATAAAAGGAGATATATGGAGTATATGTCAATTAGAATTAAAGAGATATTGGGCATATGTCAATTAGAATAAAAGGAGATATATGGAGTATATGTCAATTAGAATTAAAGAGATATTGGGCATATGTCAATTAGAATAAAAGGAGATATATGGAGTATATGTCAATTAGAATTAAAGAGATATGGAGTATTTGTTATTTAAAATTAAACGAGATATGGGGTATAATGTCAATTCGAATAAAATGAGATACATGTCAATTAGAAAGCAAACCAACAACACAAGAAACAGAAGACATCTAGAGATCAAGATGTATGATTATTTTAGACACCAATTGAACAGCATTGCAACACAGTTCTTAAAAAACAGACAGATCATGTTCAACATTATATACCATGTATACTGAATTATAAACTCTAAATTACCAAGAGTCTAGACAAGTTGTGAAAGAATTCTCCAGTGACAACCATATACCTAACACCTACACTGACTTCCCAATAAACAAAAAAACATGAAGAAAGAACTACTTAGGAGATTTGGCAGTCTTATGAATTATAGATATATCAAATTTTGTATCTTATAAATTATGAATCTATCAAACTTTGTATCTTAGAAATTATGAATAGTAAACGTTGTATCTTAGAATTTATGAATATATCAAATGTAACATATGTAAGTCAAATACAAAATATCAAATATTTGTCTTCGACTTGAAACTTTTAGGAATTATGTGCATTTATTATTACAATTGATGATAAATGGGCACAAATATGAGATTAATTATTGTGATTTCAAGAAATGCTGCATACAAATAATGCTATCAAAATTTAAAATCCAAATAATAAAAACAATGCAAAAATTTCTGATATTACAGTAATATTTCAGAACATTGTTTAAACATGCTAAAATATAAAACAATGTAAGAATATGTTTATAAAGAAAACTAAAGATATATTCGAAATTAGAATATTGTAATAATGTTGATTAAAGGTTGCCAAGATATTTTTATGCCCCCGCCGCAGCAAAGGGGGCAGTAAGTGTTCCCCTTGTTGGTCTGTACGTCTATCCCTACGTCTGTACGTCACGAAATTGGTTTCAGTTCTCTAACTTCAGTTTGCCTCAACCAAATGTTATGAAACTGATACACAATGATGATGTTTATTACCACAAAACACAGATAAAGTTTGAATTTGGGTGGCATCACTTTTACCGTTCTAGAGTAATGCCCATTTAGAAATGGAAAAATTGCTGAATTTTTGGTTTCCGTTCTCATACTGAAGTTGGATTAAGCAAATGTAATGAAACTTATGCACACTGCTTATTACCACAAAACTTTGGAATTCGGGTGGCGTCACTTTTATCGTTCTTGAGTTATGTCCCTTAATAACGTTATATGCAAGCGGGGACATCATCTGTGTCCAATGGACACATTCTTCATTTATTTTTTTTTTTCTCAGTGATTTAGATTCAATTGACTCACTAAGTATACATAGTAATCAGGATCTGTCAATAAGTGACCCAAAACAGATATTGCAACATAACAGACATGGTTCTTACATTGGTAAGTACATCATATGTACCTAGAATTGAAACAGACATTTCATTAATTTATTCAATTTTGCTTTAAACTTTAGGACATTTTTGTGATGCCTTCGAGGAAAGTTGCAGAAAGCTAGACGTAGGTGTTGCTTTTCTGGCAGCTGAGGCATCAACAATTGTTAAGTTTTCTGCTTAAGTCAGATTGATAGGAACTACTTGTGATAGATCAATGATATTTTCTATAACACAAGATTTGCAATAAAAGTCAATTATTCAGAATACCATAAAAACATAATACAACTGACTGTTAAGAACCAAAACTGAATACTGTGGATTCATTTATTTTCGTGGATTGAGGAACAATTGTATTTTCGTGGATATTTGATTTCGTGGTTTTGCCAAAGTCTGCATACAAGCCTATAGAATATTTGTACTTCGTTGAACATTTGAATTCGTGGTTTACCTATACCCACAAAATCCACGAAAATTGGTATCCCACGAATAATAATGAATCCACAGTAAATGACAATAATTTGCAAAGGTGAGGAATAGATACTGCCACCATCAATAAACGAATTACAAAAAGTCAATAAACAAATATTGTACAATCAAAAATAGAAATCATTATCATAAAATAATAAATAAAAACCGGGTATATATATATATATATCTGTTAAAGAATCAAGGGAGTAGGTGGGTAGGAAATTTAAAATCTTCATTTATATTTACAAAACAAAAATGACGTCTGCTAGCATTCAGTGCAATTGCGAGAATGCCGACACATCTAAACGTATGTGAAGAGATAGAATACACTTAATCCTCATTTGGTCAATTAGATATCACTTACCAATGATACTAGTAATTAATCTTGATCCTAATCACGAGATGACCATACTGACCATAACTGCCTGTTTTCAACAACTTGCTGATGCGGCGTAAAGCAATCACCAATCAATCAATGAAAAAACTTGCATAATTCCAAAACAACCCCATGCAAATAAACAGTTTTATATTACACTGTTGATAAGAATAATTTCCTGCCAAAAATGTTTTTATGTACCATAAAATGATTTTCCTAAAAACATAGTGCTGTCTCAAATAAAAAAATAGCACTGACAGAAACTAACATATAAGTATTGTGTAAATTGGCCTAATCTTATTTATACCTAAGGTAATAATTGATAACAAAAAATTTACTGCAAATAAAGGACCACAAGATTCGTAGTATTGTTAGTCTCTGAGCTTAAATCTCAAAGTTGGTCCATCAGCAAGAAGCAAAATTTCACTGCAAGTTCAAGAGGGCCTTGAGCACTGGTTTGAGCGATATTATTTGCCGGATGTTGATAACACTACATATATATAATATATATATATATATATATAAGTACGTCTGAACCAGTGACAACTCTACAACAGATTTATCCATCTGATCACCAGCAGTGATGGTGATACATGGCTGTGTACATATTGTATATACAACTCGTCTAAACATCAGCTCAACATTGTTAGATCTGTAAATTTGCTTTCGCAAATTTTTTGTTCTTCCCCTAGCCGGGATTCGAACTCATGCTACTGAGATATCGTGACACCAAATCGCCAGCACTGTATCCGTCCCACTAGACCACTCAACCACCTAGGCTTCAATAATAAAGCTTTCGGTGGCCAGGTGTTACCTTTCCTCGTCAGTTTTAATCTAGCGTCGTAATACAGTACATGATATATAAGGCATGAAGATGGAATATTTACAGATCAGCTAAAATATCTATTGTAAAGGATCCTACAAATTAATGCAAGATACAGTCACAGAAATAATTATATTTATAAGTACGTCTGAACCAGTGACAATTCTACAACAGATTTATCATGAGTTCGAATCCCCGCGAGGGAAGAACAAAAAATTTGCGAAAGCAAATTTACAGATCTAACATTGTTGGGCTGATGTTAAGACGAGTTGTATATATATATATATATAAACAAGTCTAAATTGAAAACAACGTTCAAACCTATGATTGCGTTGGATAAAAAACCGCATTTTTTATACGTGTGCATGCAAAACAAATTTCTTGGTAGAGTGGTCTAAATACAGCACAAACAACATTTTCCAAAAGACCAAAAAAGTGAAAAAGTATATTTTAACAAAACGCATTTGACTAGCAGGTCGAACAACGGATGTTCTTAAACCCTGCTGACTGCCATGGCGATTGCCAAATAAACAGATCACCAGATGTAAAAATGGATCTTAATTTATTAATAATATATCAAACAGAAAACAATAAACTTGCGGAAAAGATGGTATACCGCAAACATAAGGTGCAAAAATTTGTACACCATATCCGGATTTCGACAATAAATGTCTCTTCAGTGATGTTAGGAATCGAAACGGTATTTGGAAGGCCATATAATTTACCTCAATTTGGGATTGACTCTTGAATTTTGAAGAGTCAAAATAGGATGAACGGATCATATAAACCCGAAGGCAAATATAATACAAGCCCAAACAAAAAAATATAAACAAGTCTAAATTGAAAACAACGTTCAAACCTATGATTGCGTTGGATAAAAAACCGCATTTTTTATACGTGTGCATGCAAAACAAATTTCTTGGTAGAGTGGTCTAAATACAGCACAAACAACATTTTCCAAAAGACCAAAAAAGTGAAAAAGTATATTTTAACAAAACGCATTTGACTATATATATATATATATATATATATATATATATATATATGTGCATTGAAGCACACAGATGTACACCTTAACTATTTTTCAGCACAAAGTATACCTGTAGATGTACCATCCATGAGTCAAAAGAGACACAGTTTTGACTTATTTGAGGAGGATAGTGGGTTATCTTGTGAGTTTAATCTTTATGGTAGTGTTGCTAGGAGTGTGTTGTTCTGTATTGTTAAGAAAAGAATATTAATTTTGTCAGAACAAATTTTTTGTTTCGGTACATTCAAAGAAAGATATAACTACAGTAAGACATTTTACATACATTCATTCCTCCATTGGAGTGATCTCAATTTGTCTGATGGAAATTATTCCGTTTGTGTTTTTGTAATGAATAACAGCAAGACCATGGATATCAAAATAGTTCAACATGGTTCAATCTGGACACTATAATAAATGAATGGATTTACTTCTTCCATTTAAGTGACTTCGAGTGGGAGTTTTCATGCTTCATTCCCGTCCCCTGGTAGTAATCCTAATAGTTATACAAGTTTGCATCGAAGATGGATGAGAAGTCAATCCATGTCACTTGAGGGATATACTATGAGAAAGAGAAATTCCCAAGACAATCTGGTAGCGCAAGATCGACAAGATGTGACCCTTCCAGCTAGGAGACGTAGAAGTAAAATTGCCATGGGGATACTGTTTGAATTGAATGACAATGATAAGAATACAGAACAGAATAAGTGAGTGGAAGTTTAGTGAATATTGACTTGTTGCTTTTTCATAAAAAAGAATTTCTTGAGAAGCATGGGCATGTGCAAAAAAACATTTTTTAACCTACACTATCAGACTACTCGTCATAAGAGTTATTGTCCTTGAATTACAAAATGTACAATTTAAAAAAAAATTCTTGATCCAAATGCACATGATTCCGATATTCAACAAAATAAACATGTTATCCTCAAATTCAGACTTGAATTGTCTGCGGTCTTTTACTCCAACATTAAAATGACCAGACAAGGTGCAGATTATAGAGTCAAGAGAAAAACTCAAGTTTGCGATGTTAGTATACACATTCCGCTGGCGATCACCATTTTCGCATTATTCAGATTGGTCCACTTCATCTTATAAATACAACTTATGAACATTTGCCTTGTATGCATCAGTCTTTTTTGCCTCCCATAGAAATGTGCAAAAGGGTGGGGGGGGGCTTCCTGACATGTCAGTTTTCTCTAGTCTATCTTTAAGGCAAAAAGTCTCTTTGTTCTGATATATGTTAAAATGGAAAACACATGCTTGTTCTCCGTGCATAAGCCAGACATGGGATGTGGTTCGGCATTCATTACTCTAAAATACTACCATTTTGAAAGCTATGGTGTACATGATCATTATGATATAAACTTTATAAATTATAATCCAAATCACAATTTTTACCCTGATTTCAGAGTTGACTGACCATAGAAAGTTGATATTGTGAATCCAGTTCATTCTCAGGTTAATGTTTTTGGTCTTGAAAGGTAGTAAACCATGAAGTTGTAGTCACATCAACTTGAAACTTGTGATGTGAAATTTTATGCCAGAATTCATAGACTTATTGAAAAGTAGAAGTTATTTACATGTATATGAATCAATAATTTTTTTCATTTTTGATCTCTATACAGAATGTTTGAGAACTTTTTCTTTTCCCACATTACCCTGTTGGAATCACATTTAGAAAAGTTAAAGTTAGCCATTGAAAAGGCTCATTATAACAGAGGAAAATTTGTTGACATAGTAACTGAGGTAAGTTTGTTGACATAGTAACTGAGATAAGTTTGTTGACATAATAAATGAGGTAAGTTTGTTGGCATAGTAACTGAGATAAGTTTGTTGACATAATAAATGAGATAAGTTTGTTAACATGATAAATGAGGTATGTTAATTGACATAATAAGAGGTTGGTCATTTTAAAATGTATCAGATACATTGATGTATAAGTATCTAGGGATATAGATATGCAATTAGTGACCATTATCCTATCTGTTTAACAAGGAAAGAAGCAAATATAGGAAAAAAGAATACACACAGTACAATTACTTACAGAAATTTCAAAAATTTCAACCAAAATGAATTTTTATTAGATCTGCAAACTACACCTTTTCATAAAATTGAATTTGAAAAAAAACCCTCTGTCTACAATTGTTTTACGATATGTTGAACAAGGCTTTAGATAAACATGCTCCTGTTGTTAAAAAGAGAGTTAAAAGGGACAGACAGCCTGAATGGTATAACAGTGAAATCATTTACGCTAGGAACATGAGAGATAAATATAATGTACTTGGTTTATGGAGTGAGTATAGATTTTGGGGAAATAAAACTAAACAAATTATAGATATCTCAAAAAAGAATTATTATAAAAATATGGTAAAAGACTCCAATGACCCTAAAACTTTATGGAAATGTCTTCACAGTCTGAACCCAAAAGTTAAAAATACACCATATGAGTTAGCCACAGAAGATAACAATACAACTAAAAGTAAAAAATCAATAGCAGAAACTTTTAATAACTTTTTCACTTCCTGTGCTGAAAAATTAAGAGAACAAGGAAGTTATACACCTGTAAACAAAGCAGATTTCAGTAATCTTGATAAATTTGTTAAAAATAAATTACATAAACATGATAAATTTTCTATACCACCAGTGATCATGAATGAGCTATTTAATGAGTTAACAAAACTTGATATAAACAAAGCATCTGGTATGGATAATATTGGAACAAAAAACCTAAGATTAAGTGCCCCTTTTATTGCATCACCTCTCACATACATATTTAACTGAATGATAGATACTGGCATATATCCTTCTTTACTGAAGAATGCTAAGGTAACAGTTTTCAAGGATGGTGACAAGCTTTTAGCAACAAATTACAGACCTATATCTGTTCTTCCAACTTTATCAAAATTAATAGAAAGACATGTTTCTAATAATATGTACAATTACTTATCTAAACTTAAACTTTTACACCCTACACAATCTGGTTTCAGGCCGCAGCATTCTTGTCAAACTACACTTATTAACATCATTGACAAATGGTTGCAAGAAATGAATGATGGTAATTTAAACCTAGCAATTTTATTAGATTTTAAAAAAGCTTTTCATTTGGTTGATCATGACATTCTTTGTTTAAAGCTTGAAATTTATGGATTTAGTGAGGCTACTGTTAGTTTTTTCAAGTCATACCTAAATAACACAAAACAGCAGGTAAACATTCGTAATGTTTATTCTGAACAACAACATGTAAAATTTGGTGTCCCCCAAGGTCCTATATTTGGTCCTCTATTGTTTGTGTTATTTATAAACGATTTTCCCTTATGCATTGAAAATTGTGAAACAGACCTATATGCTGATGACACCACTCTTCATAAATCAGGGAAAAATATAGAAAATATACATGATGATGTTCAAGAAGATTTATACAGGGTTGAAGAGTGGTGCAAACTGAATAACATGTTCATTAATGCAAATAAAACAAAATGTTTGGTTACTGGAACAAAGCAGAAACTATCAATTCAGACTTGTCAACCAAACTTGATAATAAATTCAAAAGTATTACAAAATTCTTCATGTGAAAAATTATTAGGTGTTAAAATTGACAGCACACTTAATCTGGAGAAATCAAATTGACCAAGTTTGTGCTAATATATCATCCAGAATATACCTTCTTTCTAGAATAAAGAAATATTTAGATATAAATGCACGGAAAACATATTACAATGGGTATATTCTGCCCCTAATTGACTACTGCTGTATTATTTGGGGTGAATGTAAAAATGAAGGGATAACGAAGAATTTTTAAACTCCAAAAAAGGGCAGCAAGACTAATTCTAGATGCAGATCATTTATCCCCCTCAGTCCCCTTATTTAAAAAACTTTGGTGGATGACAGTTGACAATAGAATCAAATACCACAAATATTTACTTCTATATAAATGTATGCGTATGGAAGCACCAATATTAATGTACCTAGTTCAAAAGTTTAAACTGAAATCAGATAATAATCCTTACTCCTTGAGAGGTGTTACTCAAGGTAATCTGATAGTTCCTAAGCCAAAAGCTGAGCTATTTAAGAAATCTTTTGTTTATTCTGGATCAGTGTTATGGAATGGACTACCACACAAAATGCGTAAAGCTCAAAACACTTATACTTTTAAACAAAGTATCAAGAAGTACTTAACACAGTCCTGATAAGATTATGTTTTCTACAATGTCTTTGTATATTTTTTTTTTTTAATTTTTATTTGATTTTTTGACTACATGTACATCTTGAACAGCTTTATATCTTATCATGTTAACAATATTACATTGAACTACTTGACTGTAAATTAACTATGTGTAAATATCTGTTTTTGATTGTATTGTAATTTGTATGTGAGGGCCTCAGGGAAGATTAGTTTATTGTAACTAACTGAGTTTACCCTCTTTAAATAAAGTATTTATTATTATTATTATTATTATAAATAAAATGATATGACTACGATTGTGTACTCTTTTTATACAATCACAAAATTTTTGCGTTTGTATAATGCTATGACGATGGCAAAATATTTGGGGTCGTATATTGGTATGACGTTGGCGGCGTCGTCTTCGTCATCGTCGTCCGAAGACATTTGGTTTTCGCACTATAACTTCAGTATAAGTTAATAGAAATCTATGAAATTTGAACACAAGGTTTATGACCACAAAAGGAAGGTTGGGATTGATTTTGGGAGTTTTGGTCCCAACAGTTTAAGAATTAGGGGCCAATAAAGGGCCCAATAAGCATTTTTCTTGGTTTTCGCACAATAACTCTAGTATAAGTAAATAGAAATCTGTGAAATTTTATCACAAGGTTTATGACCACAAAAGGAAGGTTGGGATTGATTTTGGGAGTTTTGGTCCCAACAGTTTAGGAATTAGTGGCTAAAAAAGGGCCAAAATAAGCATTTTTCTTGTTTTTTGCACAATAACTTTAGTATAAGTAAATAGAAATCTATGAAATTTAAACACAAGGTTTATGACCACAAAAGGAAGGTTGGGATTGATTTTGGGAGTTTTGGTCCTAACAGTTTAGGAATTAGGGGCCAAAAGGGTCCAAAATTAAACTTTGTTTGATTTCATCAAAAATTGAACTATTGGGGTTCTTTGATATGCCGAATCTAACTGTGTATTTAGATTCTTAATTTTTGGTCCCGTTTTCAAATTGGTCTACATTAAGGTCCAAAGGGTCCAAAATTAAACTTAGTTTGATTTTAACAAAAATTGAATTCTTGGGGTTCTTTGATATGCTGAATCTAAACATGTACTTAGTTTTTTTATTATGGGCCCAGTTTTCAAGTTGGTCCAAATCGGGGTCAAAAATTAAACTTTGTTGGATTTTCAACAAAAATTGAATTTTTGGTGTTTATTTATATGCTGAATCTAACCATGTTGTTAGATTTTGGATATCAGACCAATCTAGGTAAAATGAATGTCCCATTTCAAATTTTTAATTGGATATTGGAATACCACAAAGGGATGGTAAGAATTGTCTTTGGGAGTTATGGCTCAAACCGTTAGGGAATAAGGTGCAAAAAAGGGGGGAAAAGGGTTTCCAGGTTAATAGACAATTACTTAAGTACAAAACATAATTTAAAAGGCAGTGTAAGGTTGGTAATTGAAACTCATTTGAATATCTCACCTAAACTGCTTTTAAATTATGTATATTGGAAATTTTCCAAAAATTTTATTATTAATAAATTCCATTGGAAATTTGCCAATAAATTTAGTTTAATGAACTTCATTGGAAATTTGTCAATATAAAATGTTGCTGATGAAGCTTTTTTGTTTATCTCACGTAAACAGCTTTTAAATTATGTATATTGGAAATTTTCCAAAAACTTTATCATTAATAAATTCCATTGGAAATTTGCCAATATAAAATGTTGCTGATGAAGCTTTTTGGTTTATCTCACCTAAACTGCTTTTGGCAAATTATGTATATTGGAAATTTGCCAAAAACTTTATTATTAATAAATTCCATTGGAAATTTGCCAATAACTTTAGTTTAATAAATTTCATTGCATTTTTTCTAGTTTCCAGACAATAACTTGTGTGTAAGTGTATGGATCTCTCTAAAATTGTACTACAAGGTTCCATACCACAAAGGGAAGGCTGGGATTGAGTTTGGGGGTAATTACTCCAAGGGGGGGGGGATTTTTTTTCCCAATTTTTTGGGGTTCATATTTTTTCTACAAACTTTTAGTAATCTTCAATTGCACAGTATTGCGCAATAGCACAGTATTGCGCAATAGCAAGAAACCTTCAATTGCACAGTATTGAACAATTTCACAGTATTGTACAATAGCACAATATTGGGCAATAGCAAGAAATCTTCAATTGCACAGTATTGCGCAATTGCAAGAAATCCTTATTTGCACAGTATTGCGCAATAGCACAGTATTGCGCAATAGCACAGTAGTGCGCAATAGCACAGTATTGCACAATAGCACAGTATTGCGCAATAGCAAGAAATCATCAATTACACAGTATTGCGCAATAGCAAGAAATCTTCAATTGCACAGTATTGCCCAATAGCAAGAAATCTTCAATTGCACAGTAGTGTGCAATAGCAAGAAATCTTCAATTGAAGATAAATACAAATCTTTTAACCAATTTCAATGGGATTAATTTAAAGTCTTTAATTTTTGGGGGTTCTTACCTTGTATTACTTTTTGGATATTGGGCCCCATTTTTAAATTGGTCTACACTGAGGTCAAAAGGGTCCAA